TCTCTCTCTCTCTCTCTCTCTGCTCCAATCGGTTGCCAGATCTTCTGTTCAAGAAGAAAGAGCTACCGCTACTCTAGCTACATCTTCGGCTCGCTGCGCCGGTTTGGTTTTCGCTCATCTTGATTCACTCATCCAAAAACCATGTCGACAACCCCAAAACGTGCAGCAACTGCCTCCAAACCCAAACCACAAAAACTTCCAAACCTAAACGCGAGGCCCTAAAACGGCTCCGCAGTCGTCATCCTCCTGAAGCCTGCAACCCTTCAACCGAGGCACAGGTACGTAAGCTCCAAGAGTCCCTCGTACCTTGCCTTCGACAGTTTCGCATAGCCTGCGCCCAAGGCAGAGAATTGGCTTACATGGCAGCTTGGGGTTCATAAACTCGACTTAGGAGTTCTCTTGGCACGACTAGACTGGGAGAGAGTGGCTCCAAGCAATCTCGAATGAACTTATGCACCGCCGAAAAACGGCTGATGGAAATAAACTTTCGTAAACTTCGCATTCCGCTCACATCCGAGCAACTACATCACAACACAAGGCGGGAAAGTCTTCCCAACATCCGTGTTGGCCTTGTGGATAGCAAAGCTATCCCGGCTAGTGGTAGAACGACGGCGGTTCACAGTATACTTACGAACACTTACTCAGGTGAGATTTGGGCAGAAGAGCTTACATACTTCCGGCTGTTAAACCTTAAGCCCAAACCTCGAAGCGTGGCTTGCACATGATTCTTCCAAGGCATGAAGCTGACGCTTGTCGCGTGTTGCATCGTTTTGCTGACTCTGACGTCTGCAAAAATGAACGCAGTCTACGTGCAGATCTTTGGATTGCGTGGTGCTGGCCCTTATCCTTGGATGTGGCTCATCAGCCCCAGCTCCACGGGCCTTCCATCAGCGTGAGGAGGCTTTTCAAGTTCTGGAGGCCTGAGATATGACAACATGCAGAATGCAGTTCGGATGCCCCTCCCCCAAAGTCTGCAACAACAGGGCTTCAGAGCTAAACCGCTTGGGTGGGAGTTTGGGCTTGATTGTGAGGCGAAAGGGACGACATGCATGTCAACAACAGGTTTTCCTTCTGCAGCGGCAATGACGATTGGCCCTGTTCACTCTTCACTCCTTCAAGCACTTGCCACCACCGCATCCAGTGTAGATTCCACCGAGGCAATCAGACTGATATCTGGCCGAAGTGATCTTGGTGTACTTTTTCGGGAAGTAGCAAAACCCCTTCTCATCGAAATATTTAGTATCAGGACCCATGCAGTCTGACTGATAGGAGCACGAAACCACACGAGTCAATGTAGCCCCTGGAACGAAGCATTGGCCGGATTCCTTGTCATAGACACCGTGGCCGAAGCGGATGCATTTCCAGTCGCTGACGCCGGAGATCATGTCACCTGGAAAAGGCACCACGCCGTCGACATAGGAGGCCGCCTCCTCCTGGGCACTGTGACCCTGGTTGCGGATAGCCCAGGCGAGCTGGGCGAGCTGCGCTGTGAGGAAAGCAAGGAGGACTCTCCTGGGGTTCCGCAAACTTCAAAGGCCCTGGAAGCTTTCACAATGCTAAAAAACAGACAACATGCGCAACTTTTGCCGAGCTGCATCGTGGTTCAGCTGCGCAGACCTATCGAGGAATCGGATTTGGCAAGATCTGAAGCTATGAACCTGCGGCTGCGGATTCCCGAGCTTCGGCATTGCAATGATCGTCGCATCATGACTCAGCGGAAGCATCACTAAAGACGTCAATATCTCTGAAGGGAATAAATACGTGTCCGTTGCCACTCTTCCTCTTCCTCTTCCTCTCCCTCTCTCTCCCTCCCTCTCNNTCTCTCTCTCTCTCTCTACACATGTGTGCATGTGTGCATGTGCTGCACATGTGGGTGCTTTGTGCACACCCTCGCTACACGTTCAAGCATAGCACACGCAGCGTAGTCGGTGATCCTCGGCCAACTCCATTCCCACACTGAGCAAACTTGCACTGGCAAACGGTAGTGTAGATGTCAAACGGTCAGCCTCCGCATGCGTGCGCCTTTAGCGAAGAATCGCCAAATTAGACGAGAGCTGGGCCAGAACTCCCCCGTAGCCTTCTGCCAAGCGGCAGAGATTGTGCAACCCCGCCTGCGGAGGCTGAAGACAGTCCGGGATTCAGAATTCAGGGCGAAGATCGTGCCGTAATATCTTGAGGTGATCAGGATCAGTTGTGTTACGGCCATTGACAACTCCAAATGTTGATGATGGCTGCCATTACTGAAATTTGTTGGCGTTCTTGCTCTACCAGTAAAAGGCCTTGACAACCTGAGGCTTGCCATTGAGGTATGAGGGTTCATGGAATCGACTTAAAGGTCCTGGGTATGGATCCAAGCACTCGCAGAGCCTGGGGTGACGAATGTTTTGCAATTTCTGTGTCACTTAGATGGTTGTGGCGGCTCCGAACAAAGGGGGATTGCTCTCGCGACCACAATTGCGACGACTTCCATCATCGATGCAGTCCTTCCAACGGCTTCCTGCTTTTGGAGGCAGTATACCGCTCGAGCTGGGGCTTCGACCGCAAGTCCTCAAAGAACAGACTTCCCACCACTTTCTCTGTCAAATCCTGTGCCATCTGCTGCTTTAAAGACCACCTGGGCCAAGTTTGTTCATTACCTCGGTGTTCAGAATAGATCCGTGGAGGGAAGCCCCAGTCCTGAAGCCTGAAAATTGAACGCCGAAACCCCAAGCCGAAAGGTCTCAAGCGCTTTTTCGCGTGGCCGGTGCCGACCTCCATCAAACGGGCAATGAGGCCAGACGACCGCTGCGTCCAGCACCTGACCCCGACGGGCCAAGGATCCCGGAGAGGGAAATGGGAAGGTCCTTTTTGGTGGTGTTCCGAAGAGGGGTCTAAGAAAATCATTTTTGTGCAGAATTCAGCTGCTGTCCACCTATGAAGGGCTTGCTTCAACAATACTTTTCAGAATGCTGTGGGGAATTGTTGGAGGTCGCCTCCCTGCTCCATCAACAGCAGCCTTGGGACGAAATGCCCAAACCCAAAAACAACCCAAAACCCTGAACCTCAAGGGCTCCAAACGGCTCCAAACCCTAGCTGCAAGTCCTGCACAAGTCTGGATCAGCATCATGGCCCAAATCTCGGGCCGCCACGGGGAGACGACGCCTGTCTCCGACATGTAAAACAAGGTGATGGACTCCTGCGGGATTTCTTCTCTGACTCAGCTGTTTATGGTTGGCATGATGACCGAGAGATCAGCAAGATTGGCAAGTTGGCGGGTTGCTCAGCGCAAAGCCGGCACGATGAAGCCGGCATGATTCAATGTCTGGGTATGGCTAGTGTGTAGTGTGATTGTTGGCAAGGTCGGCATTGTTTGTATAAGTAGTTGGGCTTTGACGGAAAGCGCGCGTGGAGTCTGATCAGAATGATGACGACGAAAAGCAACAGGCCCTCAACCCCCCAAGAAAACCGAAAATCCCCTGCAACAAAAAAAGCCCTTTAAGGCCCCCTTGCCCTTGGCCCACTCCGGCCAAGTGATCCGATAGAAGGAGGCGGAGCGGGAGAAGCCATCGGACATGCTCCGCGAGAAGCTTTGGAGGCTGTAGGGCTCCCGCTTGCCTCAGGCTTTGAGAATCTTTGAGATTCGGGCTTCGAGAGTGGAGGTTTCTTGCTCCTTGGTTTGCTTCCCACTCTTTCCTGATTGTGGGCCTTTGGAACAGAGTGGAGCTCACTTGCTCAGCCCCTCACCCTCCGGAAAGGCTCAATTTGGGAATCTTTATCAACACCTCCTCAAAAGGACCTGACCGTGCTTCGGAGTCTTGTAGGAGGTGGAGGCAGTGCGCAGGCGCAAGGTGGTCTTGTCCGAACATCTCGCGAAAGCTGCGCGTCTGTTGAACAAAGCAGCGGTTTTTGAATTGAAACCTCAAAGTCGATGTGGCTTTGAAGAGCGCCTAAAGCTTCTCCAAATGAACTTCAGGGGGCAGTGGGGGAGAGCAAGAATCGTTGTGACTTGTTGGTTCGTTGGCATTGGTTTTGCAGCCGCTCACAGGACTTCAAAGAAGGATTTTGGCAAGAATCACTTCGAAATTCTTGGAGCATGTAGGACTCACATCGGATGTCCTCCTAGGCTGCACACTTGATTGATGTGGTCCGGGCGATTGCAACTTGTCGGCTGCCTCTTTCGCCGGGACCTCCCAGCTCCTGGTGTGAAGCCTTCGCACATGAAACCTCTCAAAGTCGTAGAACCACGGAGTAAGCGTTACATCGAACTTGCTCTCGAACAACGTTGACCAAACATTCTCACGCCCCACACACGTCACACACCTTTCCTCCTTGCAGCCACGTGGCGCGCGGGACAGTAGAGCGGAGTGCAGTCGTCAGTGTAGAGCTTGCCAACGACATCGTAAACCTCTTCGAAAGGAAGCTTCTTCAGGATTAAGCAGTGCACAAGCCACGGGTAGCACTGAGAAATCTCCAAGACATCCCGCTCAGCATAGCAACACTAAGAACACAGTCATGACATGAGATCATGAACACTTACGTTGTTTGCATCTACTATGTCCTGGTCCATCTCTTCATGTACGCACTTTGTTCTATATGCGCGCAGGCCTGCAGGAGCCGCGACTGAGGATCGCTTTCTCCAATCAGGGAGACTGCAGCCAACCTAGGCCAAACGAGTCGAAGAAAGAAAGGAACTTACATGTCTACTTAAAGCTGGATTTTGCTGCGTTCAAACCAGGGGTGGTCTCAGGTTGTTGAGAAAGCCGTTTATCAATCGAACTGCAACTCATGACCGCTTTTGGGGGCTTTGCCACCTCGCTTTTTAGCCTTTAATTCGAATCGACAATGTTGCACTTCTTTTCATCCGGATTCTGGGTTCGTCAGGGCCGCTCGCCTTTGTGCGGCCACGGCCTAGAATCGAAGTGCCGGGTGCTCGGATGCAAGGACACTCGCCGAACCCCACAACTAAGTTGCTATCATCGGCAAGAACGGTGGAGGCAGGGAATAACATCATTGAGTCGGGAGGCTCCTGCGACTTCTGCACCACCAAAGGGGAGGGCAGGTTCCGGAACTTCCGGTTCGGAGCCAGATTCCCACCTTTGGCTTACGGAGGGTGTGCAGAGATTTGGGGCTTTCGGGGCTGTGGGGCTTCGGCTGGTTCGTTAAGCTTTAGAGTCGGCTTCGGATTTTGAGCAGAACTGGGAGAGAAATGCTGCAGTGATCAGGTTGTCGCACTCAGCACATCAAGCCCAAATCACAATTCGCTGGACCGAGCCCAATATGTTGCACGAAGCCCTGTGTGGAAACTGGAAAAGGTGCTCTTCGAAGCAGATGCATTCTGAAGGAACTATGATCCAACGAGTGTTGTATTCTTCGGTTCGTATTGTTTCGTGCAGCCAAGCGTGAGGTCGGATATCAGATGGCTGAAACTTCATGTTAACGACCCGGAATTTTGTCCCAGTTGCGAATTCCGCCGGGGCCTTTCGAGATGCCAAGCGTGCCTGGACGCACAATCAGATATGCTGGTCGTAGTGAGGCTGGCAACGAACAAATATCGACCACGATGCAAACTTGCATGCGTGAGGTGTTTGTGTATATGCATACAGCATGCATGTATGTATGTGTGTATGGGGTTGTGCATGTGAGTGTATGTGAATACGCTTGCACATGTGCATGGGCCTGTGCGTGTTCATGCGCATGTGCATGTGTTTGCATGTGAGGGTGTGTGCATGTGAATGTACATGCATGAAAGTTTTGAATACCGGCGTCATCTGTGCACGGATTCGGTAGCTATGTGTCTGTATGTGAATCATCACTGCAGAACATAACCGCATTGGCTGAGCAAAACACAAGATAAAGCACACAAAAACCCGTGTGCTTGGACTCGGTCATAAGTTTGCCGAGCCGTCTCTTGAGTTCGTAGACGGAAAACCTGGATTAGCAAATGCAAAAGGCACCCCTCAACGGCAGAGCCTTTGTATGGTTGAGTCGAAGCCGGGAGCTTTTGTGGGATTAGATGTCACTGCTGGGCTTGACGCGGACCAGCTCCACCGCAACCCACAGAGCCCCTCAACGAACAAACCCAAATGCCTCAAAACACAAAGCAAGAACTGTGACAAGCCCCGAAGGCCAAGCGCATAGAAAAACGAAACCCGCGCGAAAAACGAAACCCGCGCGGCCTCGCTCGGCCGATCGCGGAGGCGGTTCCTCCGGATGCATTTGTTGGCTCTTGGTCTTCGGGCCTTCGGGTGTGGAATTCTGGGCTCTGCCTTCATCACGAGTACGCGGGAACTCCTGCTGCCCTAGCCGTAGCCCCCCGCCCACAGCTAGGAGAACTAGATGCCGAAGCACCAGCTCGGTCCAAAAAATCTCCCGAGAGCTTCAACTCCTGAAAGACCGCTTGCCAAGTGCAGAAAGGAATCCAAAAAAAAAGAGAAGTCTGTAGGATCGTAAGATTCCAACCTTGTTGGCAGGGTTGCCATGCACTGGGGCTACCAAGTAAACCGCACCCCTCTCTGCTCCTCCTGTTGCTGCTGCTGCTGCTCCTTTGTCAATTTGTCGTCGTCCACATCGTCGTAAGCAGCAGCAGGAGCAGCAGCAGCAGCAGCACAATCGATGACGACTCCTGCTAGTGCGACCGTGGTCAGCACTACTGCTGGCATTGCTAGTCTTTGTGTTGCTCTGTTCTGAAGCAAAGGCAGGTTTCCCAAGCTCCCACCTCGCGCTTCTCCCTCGGCCGTGGCGGACGGGAGGGCCTCGCCGGAGGCACCTCAGAAGCCGAGGCAAGAACGGGCCTTCTTAGCTTGGGATATTTGGGGCGGCAAGACGGGCGGCAAGAAGGGCCGCAGAAGAGCATCCTGGAGATCCACCCCGAAGAACCGTGAATGTCGAGAGTTGTACCTTTGAGTTCCCAGACCTCAACTCCAACATGATCGCTTCCAACAACGCCCCCAGCTCTACAGACCCTGAAATCGTGAGCCAAATATCCTCCGAAATCTGAAATCTAAACCCCGACACGCTAAATCCTGAAAGCGTCGGCCAGCATACCCGGCTTTAACCGAGGAACACAGGTGACAGAACCCCAGCGAGCACTCAAAACAGCCTGAGCCTCACAAGTTTCACACAAACATACAGTAGGCACATTCATATGCACTGCAACATTGAAGGAAAATGCCCTCCAAACATCTACGAGCCCTGCGGCCTCTTCGGTTGCCGAAACATCCAGAGACA